AGTGCGAAAGATTTAATATCAGTAATAAAGATTTAAAACACGTAGCGCAAGATGCTTTGACAAGTTTGTACTTCGTTTTTCATAAGATAAAAGATTTTACTGACAATGTACAATATGAAATACTTTTTTACTAATCATTTATAAAAAAATAAAATTTTTTACTAAGGATTTATAATAAATAATAAAAAATGCCACTATTTTAATGTAATGGTGTCCGTTTTTGCTAGTAGTTTAGTATAACTTAAATATTTTCGTGATGTTATAGTACTTTTAAGTCATTTACTGGTGTTGAGATTATCTTTCTGTATTAAAATCCAGGCTTAAATATTTTTCAGGACTTCAGTAATACTGTATAATGATTTCTACATCAAGAACTACATTTATCAAATTCCAACTCATTAAATCTTCGTTTTTCATAATTTTTATTTCCATTTACTGATAAACGATTTTTTTTTCATAAAGCATTGAGAAAAATTATAGAAACTTAACCTCTAATTTAGTATCTTACATTTCTGTATTTTTAGATACTCTTTCTACAGAGAGCAGATTTTTTTTTGTCTTTGCAGTATTTACAGTCTTACCAATAAGAATGTTATATCAAGAAGATGCAAAAATATAATTATCTGATACAGAAAGTTATTTTATTTAACCAAAACACTCATATAGTATTTAAATTATCGAAGAGAAGAAAACTTAACTGTGCTAATCATTTGACTGCATGTGAAATTCGAAAGCTAATCATGATTTACTATTTGGAGCAGTACCTCCTTGACTTAAAAATTAATGGATATTAGAAACGGCCACAGAAAGCTAAAGCTATTTCAAAAGTCAGAAAAGGACTTTTTTAAACAAAGAGTTGAGGCCTTTTTTTTTAAGAAACAAGAGAATAAGAGGCCCTTTTTCTCAACAAAGTTTCTTGGAAATATTTAATTCACTAGTTCTTTATTCATAGTGTTAGATTTAGCATTAATATTCCTTGTAAAAGGTTTGGTAATCCTTACTACTTAGTCCTCTGAGTAGCTTGATCGCTTTTATGCAGTCATGAGATTTGTTGTATCTTTGCATGCAAAGTCAAAAACCTCACTGGTAGAGTACCTTTGAAAGTAATTAAAAAAAACGTCGCATCAAGCGGAGTTAAAGACCAAATTTAATTTAATATTTTAAATTTTCTTATTTTAATTCAAAATTTAATCTAGATAAATAAAAAAGTATTTTACTTACTTACTAATGCTCTTTAGGTTATGTTCAAATGACTCTCGATTTGACTTTGGCTATGTGAACTACTTTTAGAGGGTTTCCAAATATTGGAATTTTTCTTATTAACGCTTATTTAAACCACAAAATTCATTATACCTTCTGTTTCACGGAAGTGCTTATTCTCTTCTTCATATTTTGCACTGAATATAAAGATTCGTCTTACTACAAAGAGTAGTGTTTATACAGAACTTCTTGTTACGCCTCAAGCCATAGCATAAGTAGTGCCTCTTACTCTTGGAATTTTTGTAAACACTAATTGTATCTGCTCTTTATTTTAACTTCTCTAGTTATATCTATTTCTGAGTCATCATTTGAAACGTTTGTTTTTTCTGTTTCTTATAGGGAAAAAATTGTATAGAATTAAATGAAGAATTAAATGATTAAGGAGAGCATTATTATTTCATTTATTTCAAATTCAGACTCTTAAATCAAGGAACCTAGCAGCTTAGAAAGTTTTTAATTACAAGATTAAAGACCAACTTATACGTCACCTCTGATCTGCAGATTTTGTATGATAACCGCAGGAGCCTGTTTCGAAAAAATACATGTGTTTTAATATGACTTTAGTCTGCTTTACTAAAAAGACTTAATTTTTTTTCCAGAATTACCAATAAACACACAATTAAATGCACTTAATGAAGAGTGCTTGTATTTAATGTTAGAAAGTACCTTTACTCATCTAGCCTGCCTCGCAATAAATGTATGTCAGGCTACTCTTCACGCTAATTAAGAAAGAGTTTAGCTTACTTTATTAAAAAAAAACAGAACAATGTTAAATTTACAGTGAAGCAAACTATTTTTTCTTAGATTACAAATGAAAGCACAGATGCAAACCATAGAACTACTAAAAATTTCAAAATGGGCTAAAAATTGTGGGAACAAGAGCCATTATAAGGAAAATCGTTGCTGACAATAAAACATTACATATTATTATTATTAACGCGTTCTCCCCTAAGGCACTACACAGAAGGAAGGGATGCCTTCGGGGAGGACTTTCTAAGGAAACTGGCCTGTATTAATACGTTACACATGGAGAAACCCACGAAAATGCCCATGCAGCCAGCCCCTTTCGCGGGATTCAAACCTCGGACCGAACTACCCGTATTCAGGGGATTTAATGCTCAGCCGCTGGTGGGCAAAACACTATATATGAATAAATATTTATATATGTATATGAACATTTATATGTGTATTAATATGGATGAATATTCAATGGTACTAATACAAGAAATTCCACTAAGACATATTTATTCAAATATATATTTATTCATTATTTACATGCATTGCTGTCTTATTATCGTACTTCTTATTTGGGCTCAAAGAGGACACTTTTCACATTGTAACTAGTCCGTATTAGTCTTATACTGTAGTTTCTTTACGCAAGATAAGCCCACCATAGGCCGAGCTGTAAAGTCGCTGAACACTGCAATCTGAACACTTCGGTCCGAGATTCGAAACCCGCGAAGGGGCTGGTTGCATGGGTGGTTTCGTGGATTTCCCCCTTGTGTAATGTGTATACCAGCCAGTTTCCCTTAGTCTTTCACGAATGCATTGTTTCCCCTTAGGCAGATAGTCCTCGAGGCTTTGCCGTAGTTAAATAAACCAAACATCCTTTGCGTTCGATGCGAAAACTCGATCTGAATTCGAATGCGGGCAAACGGGCTGGCTGCATGAATAGTTATTGTGAATTTCCCTAGTATGTAATCAGAATACGAGCCACTTTCTCTCAGAAAGTCCTCCAAGAAAGCATCATTTTCCTTAGGCAGACGGCCCTTGTGCACTTCGCTATATTCAGATACCGTTTATTTAACTAATATATTGCAGTGGAAAACTTACATTCAAAGGTTTCTGATTTAAACATACTTCGCAGACTACGGGTTTCGTTTTGAAATTTGCTTTGTTCTGACATTTCTGTAATACTTCCCAAATTTCTCAGCAGTCTTTAAACGTCTTTAAACTTGTCTTGTATGCACTCTAAAAGAAATTGTTTGAAAAGAAATTTCTATGTTCTTTTGGCTGTATGCTAATCTCCTTATTCTATATTACTCTTAAATTTTTACCTTGAAATCTTGCCTAAAATCAAACGGTGAACCCTAAAATCAAATGGCGAACTATGCAAGGTTATTTATATAGATTAATTAGTCAATGGAATCAAAATGCAGTTGTAGTTACCCGCTTTTCATACAAAAAACGTTCAATTAATACTCCTCAGATGGCACTAAAATATTTGATAACATCTTTAGCAGTGTGCAGATGTGCAATTTTTCTTAAACAATGTTTGTTCGATAAATATATAAAAAAATACATTTATATAAAAGCATGTAAAATGTACTCTATATGTACGTATTATGCAGTAATAGCGGAATATACGTAGTTTCTCATTGTGATTGAAAAATACTCCTGCGAAAGGATATCGCCACTGAATATAATTTGGTAAAGCCTGAAATACTTTTGTATCACTAGCAGTGCAACTTAAAAATAATTAAATCTAAAATTTTTATTACAGCTTTTAATTAATACGCGCGCAGGGACGCCTCCAATCATTGGTGACATAGCCAGCCTCCTAGAGTACAGATTTTCGGAGGGTGCTAGCTACATAGACCACACAATGTACAGCTTAATGAAGATATACAATATCAATATGTTTAATTTCTACACTGTTCCAGCAGTGGCCAAGAGATTAAGACAGCTGAGTACTAAGAGTTCAACCCAGATTCTATCCTAGGCGAACGAGTTGGATGCATGGTAGGTTTGTCCATGCATGGTAGGATGTTCGTGGCTTTCCTTGAGGTTAGGCGACAGATACGATTAGACTCTTCGCAACGCTGACGTATTTAATTACACACGTCTGAGAAAAGGAAAAAACAAAGGGAGTGGTTATTTTTGAGCAAAACTAGGAATCAGAGACGTCACACGAAAGCAAACCTCGTAGTAAAGTAACCTTGTTTTCCGCCATTAATGCCATAAATATGAGGAAGGTTCCCTTAGATAGTTCTCGACGAAAGCATCCGTCCTTTTAGACAAATAGCCCTTATGTGTTTTGTCATATTCAAATAACTTAATCCAATTTGTACAGGGCACCAACTATACTGACTGCTTATGGAGCCCAAAATGCTGTAAAAATAGGCTTGTATGGAAGAATCAGAGTTTGTCTTGAGTTTGTAAAACATTTTTTGTGTGTATTCTAGCATCTATTAAACCAATTTTTTTCAATGAGTCTTCGCACTGCAACACAGGCGAAAGGTAATTTCTTTCCAGCTGGCAACAAGGGATTATTGTTTTGCAATTTGCATTTAGTACTTTCAAAGTGGATCTTTAATTTTGCTTTAGCTGCTTTGATTGAAATGAAACTGGGTTATTTAAAATATTCTACCGCAGATGAATCTTTTTAGCTTCATTAGAAATCCATTTTAAGCGGATTTTCTGTGAGAGCGAGAAACCAGTATGCGATTAGCAAACAGAAAACGAAAGGAAAACCTTTCAAAACTAAGAAAAAGCAGAAACTGTTTCACTCCGAGAGCTGTTCTATAGTTGTTTACATAATTTGTGATCCATAGAGTTTGAATGTCTATTACTTTGGAAAAACGCATTTTCAAAATGCACATTAAAGCAAATTTGCGTTTCACTTTCGCGCACTGCCTCAGCGATAAATAACCAAATGTGTCATCCGTGAGCTGAAAACGAATGATTAATGACGAAATAGTGCTACGTCATTTGACAAAGGACGGTTTTCTCCCGCTCATATAACAACTTTTTTTCCTTTTTAACCATTCTAAACGTCAAGTGATCACGAGTTGTGAAAACATGTGCTTCTGTTAAATGTTATCTTATCATCTGTTAGTTACAGGGTTCAGTATCTCTCCTACATAACCGCCGAAACTCGGGACAGCTGGTTAAGTTCTGTATCGATTTCTACTGAGAGTGTTTATTCCTCAAGAGTGAAAAAAACAAAAGCGCGCTATTTTGTTTTTAATTATTGCAGAGGAAAGCTTTTACGATTGGAAGAAATGGATAGCAGTTCTTTGGTAAGATATAATTTGATAAATAGACTTTCCCTGCTAATTCACCTCAATTTATAATTTATAAATTTTCTTTAAAATCATAAAGGAATATTTTAACCTGTAAATAATTTGTGGTATTCTTGCAGAATTATATTTATACTACTTTATAAAATTGTCCTTGCGAATTTAAAATTTTAGAAGATGAATTTTTTACAGATCACAATTAGATATATAAACGATTACGATTATGTATAACAATCACGATTATATATATTATATTGTAACATATATTATATATTATATCACGATTAACGATCACGATTGTTTATATATCTATATTAACATTTTTAACATAGTTTTTATCAGTAATCGTAATTTATTAGTCAACTTTCGCAGTTATTCCAGTTAATAAAATACTAATTAAACACAAGATAAATTTTCATTAAGTAGTAACTTATTTAAAAATGAAGCTTTTATTATTATATTAATATTACGCTAGTTATTAGTAAAGTCATTATATTACTGTTATAAATAAATAACAGTGTACCTTCAATGCAAGTTTTTTGTTCACAGATAAGTTTAATTTTAAAATGAAAGCGTGTAGAAAATATAAGATACAATATATAAAGTTGGAAAATACGTTGTTTGGAATGTTCTCCCGAAAACTGCTTTATGTAAATCTAGTGCATGTTCATTTGTTCCGCTTCCATAGCCCTTCTTTTAGGATTTATATAATAAGACTATACAATTAATTTTCTTTATTGAAATTAAACTGAATATTCAATTCTGTAAACATATAATACTTTTATTTTTGTATAGTAATTGATTCAACTTAGCTGTTTTAGGCCTTTTTGAAAATTTTTTTATATTCATTTGCATTTGTAAATAATTTTGTACTATAGAAGAGCGAATCACATCGGGAAAAGAAATGAATTTTATGAGACATTTAAACTGGATTATGTTTGAAAAGAAAGTTGAATTAATTTAAAGCGATTTGGAGTCTTAGGGAATTCATCAGAACGAAACATATTTTTCGTCACTCTTTAATCAACTTGGTTTAAGACTTCGAAACGCTTTTCCCTTGACAAGTTCTGTTTGAAGCGTTAAACAAAGGAGATTAAACATCTTTATCGTTTTGGTTTTAATATATTCATATTTTCCCGTTTTTTATAATTATTCCTCTTTGAAATGAAAATTTTTATTTTGAGTTTGTAATTTTCTTCAATTTGCATTTTAGCAGTTTATTTTGTTACGCGGAGAAAATAAGTTTAACCTTCAAATATTTAATACGGTATTTTTGGTTGCGATTTTCACGATTTTGATTTATCTTCAAATTTTGCAGCCACATGTGCAAATTGGAGTGCAAGTTTTCTTTTCTTTTTGTTTTTTCAACATCTTAAAAATATTTACATGAATATATATATATATATATATATATAATCGCAGATAAATAAATGCATTTACATATGGACTTTTCTGCTACCGTGTTATACAAATTTACCCAATATATCATTCTGAGAATTGTTAACTTTAATAGCATTTCTGATTATTCTATCTCTATTTATTATTTTAACTCAAATAGTTCAGGAACCACTGAATAAACTTTGATCTTTCAGTAATATCAATATAACACTTTCTTTTCCTCAGCCATTTGTATGAGCACGGAGAACAAACTTTTCGCCATTTAAAATGTTAACTTATCAAAATTTATATTAATTTGATTTCCGAAGAAATTTGTCCATACTTGACTAAACAAAAAACATTTACAAGCTCTAAGAAAGATAATTTTTTGAGTTAAATATGTTAAGTAAAATAATAGTATAATAAGTACGCATATATTAGAAAATATGTATTACTTGTATATATTAATTGCATGTGTAATGTTTATGTTTCAAGAAAAACACCAATAGAGTAATGAAATTTGTGTTTGAGTCCGCAGTACGGTTTTTTTTCTTTTTTTTCCTTTAGAATTCTAGAGAAACTCATCTTTTCATTTTACCTTGGATCCGAATAAAAAAATAACTTCGCATAAAGTTAAGAATGTGTTTGTGCGTAATGGGAATCTTAAGTGTTAGCTAGCGCTTCTACGGATAGTCTGCAAATATGGAGTTAATAACTACTGACGTAAATTTAAGTCTAATTCTTATAACAGCTATTATTGCATATTTATGCATAAATCATTCTCCTTTCAGAAGACTGTCGTTTCTGTGCATAGTCCTTTGATACAGTGCTGTTCTAAAGGAAGTTATTACACGTCTTATGCCATCAGTTTAAAGGTAATTAAATTTTTACTTTAAAAGTATTTCTTATACTGTAGCATTTCTGTCCATTTATTTTTTTTATATGTAGACATCGTAGTTATTCCTCATTCTTACCTCTTTCAGAGCAATGACCCTTGTTTTAATTACTCTTGCTCACAAATTCGTCGACGGTATTCTGATTTCATACATCTTAGACGTATGCTTGTTTCTCATCATCCTACAGTGTAAGTATCATTATTATTTATCGTAATTTTGAGTTTATTTGAAAGTAAGTTTTCGAGTCTTATATGCAGATATTTATATATTAGCTGTACAAGAGATAGAAAGTTTTACTAGGTCTGTGTATTTGCTTGTATTTCTCCGTAGAACGAAGCCTTATTCACAAAGGAAATGAACATCTAGTGCAAACAATTTTGCTAAACTTATTTATAGTAATCAGTTTGTTTTAGCTGGTTACAGTCTTATCATATTATTTAAATTATGATAGTTGAATTTAGCACAGGAAAATTTGACACTAGAGTTTTTTTTTTTTTTTCCAACAAGGGGACAATTTTTTATTGTCTCGTAGTACAGGGCTACAAGATACTGTCTTGTGTGCGAACATGCTTTGTTAAATGCTGTGCAGAAAATAATTTCATATAATTAGCAAAGAGCAAAGACAGGACAAAATGAACGCAGCCAAGAAATTAACAACAGAGAGTTAATATATTTCATTGTTTGGTTTTGCCCTCTGTGGGGTATGCTTAGAAAAAGTTATAAAAGTATATTTTTAATAGAGCAAAAATACATATACAGGATTCTAAAAGATGCGCGAATGTATCTTGCATATCTAGTTTTAATGGTGTGTGTTTATATATAGATATATAACATAAAAACAACGATACATTTGCGCACATTACGTTTTTTATATAGTACATAACAAAAGTAACATCCGAACAAACAAAATCACAGCAATAAAAACCATTTTGTAACTTGTATAACGAAATACTGTATAAATCGAGTTTTAAATTCTGTTGTGAGCGAAACGAAAGGGAAAGTGTACTTTACGGAAAGTTAATTTTCGCCGGAAATTTGAAACATGATTATCTGACGAAAGTGGAAGTAGGCACAGTTAAGCATTTCCTCTGTATCGGTATTCCCCGTAGCTGGGAAACTCCGTTAAACGTGACACACTATCATTTTACCATACTTTCCATTTTCTCATTCTTTGAAGATAAGATTGTCCTTAAAGATGCACATTTTTATACTCGATTCGAAAATTTTCCTTTCCTTGCCGCTTAAGTTTACTATTTCGTTTTATGTAACTGCCTTAACTTCTCACTACAAAGCTAAATTGCTCTGTTAATTAATATTATTTATTATTATTTAATAATGAAATATGTAATGTGAATATCTTTTTCTCTTTATTTTAATTTGAAACAGAGGATGATACTAAATCAGTCAGCTTTGTAAAATAGCAAGTAGAAAGTGCGTTGATAATACCAGTATGCTCTACTAGACGGTTAGAATCTCCTTTGGTGATATATACCAGGGTTGGCCAAACTTCATGTCAGTAAGAGCCGCACATTTGAATTCAGGAATGTTCGAGAGCCGTGTCTACATTTTCTAAAAGCCACAAGTTCATATTTACATCATTATAGAAGTAGTGGAGGAGGTTTTAAATAGAAAGAAATTTCTGATAACTTTGTAAAAAGAGTCTAAATTAATTTCTTCTTTTTGGACACTGAATAGTTTTAGTTTACCATATTTCATACATATATTTTATATGCACGAGCCGCACAAATTGACTGCGAGAGCCGTATCAGGCTCGCGAGCCGCATTTTGGCCACCCCTGATATATACATTTCTACGCAGTGATTCGTATTTCAGTTATTGTTTTAAGATTTTTATTTATATAAGTGATGCTGTATGATAAATTTTGTAATCTTTTATTTGCGTAATCTTCGTTTATAATGTCTGTTTACATCTTATTTGGTTAGATTTGGCTAGACTTCCATTGTTTAGAGCGAATAACATCAGGATAAGTCTTTAAACAACTTTTATTTATTTTTAAAATAAAATTTTAATTTGCTTTAAGAGTTAATATGGTGTTTTTTATCATGTGTATAAGCCACAAAGAGTTTTAATGCATATTTAGTACACATTCATATAAAAAAGGTTTCCTTTATATTCTAACGCAGTTGTTTAGTTTTCTTTTTCATTTTGCATCATCTTTAATTAATAGTGTCATTTGCCATTATTTTTTTTTTTGCTTGATCATACATAAAACAGGTGCCCTGTGTCTGGTTCTGACTATAATATAAAAATCCTGAAATGTTTTTCATCTTTTATCCTTTCCATAAATCGAGGTCATCTCGAAAACAAATAATGCAATTAGGAAACCTTTTGTGAAGAAAATATGGCTAATCAGTTAATAACAAATTTTAATTTCACTTGAAAATTTTCCGATTATTTTATACTTTCGTCAACACTGTACAGAAAAAAAAATTAAATGTGTTATGCTCCGGATTTATTTTACATCATTATTTCCTTTTCTTCAGTAACTGAGAGTCTGACTACAAAAGTAATTAACGAGTGACTTTTATACGCATTTCTCCAAAATAAATATTCTTTTCCTTCAGTTTTTCCGGCATCATTATTTCCTTTTTCTTCAGTAACTGAGAGTCTGACTACGAAAGTAATTAACGAGTGACGTTTATACGCATTTCTCCAAAATATATATGCATGCATAACTATAGTTTGCTGTTGTTGTTGTCGTGTCCATATTACATGGAACAATGGTTGCCAGAGGCTACTCCGAAGAAAGGTTGAACTTCTATTTTCCACCCCCAATTTTGAGGTAGAGCACTCCGGAGGAGGATCCGGGGTCTCCCACCCCTCTCCACTACCACCAATCCACACGAGAGGTCTTTCGGCTCGCCGTATATTTAGAGTGTCGCCATGCCGCACCGACACTATACATTTACAAATATCCATGTCTTCTCCGGGATTCGAGCCCGGGCTCTTCGGTACTGTAATAGGCTCCCCTAATTACTATACCGTCTGGGCGACATAAATATAGTTTACTTATACATAAATGAACTATATTTATTTATATGTAAAATGCTTAACTTTTTTAACTTTCACTTAAAATATTTATAATAGTAACTTAGAAAACGTTAAAATTCGGAATTTCAGAATATAGTTAAACTGTATACCTGCAGTAACAGACTGGAAAAACCTCCAGTAGAATAATCGAAATATTTTTGTTTTTAAATTTTGTGTGCTGATTTTGCTAAAAAATAACCCGCTGTGCTCCATACTTTCAGTTCATGACAATATCTGATTCCTCTGATTTTGAATAATCTTAAAGATCTCGAAAGGTTTCGATAAAAGAATTTTGAAAAACAAGTGCTTTCAAGTTTTTCTTATTTAGTCTAAAAATATGTTACGTAACCCCACAAAAAGAAATGCATTGGGCGTAACTTCTTTACCTTTTTCGATGATTTTTAGATATCAGTAATAAATTTCAAATAAAGTGAGTACCTTCTTTTTTATAGAAAGCCTCCAATTCTACCGCCGAAAAACTACTTCCAGCGGTTCAGTATCGATTTTATAGAGAAAAGAAAGAAAGGTCTTCAAACTTTTCTGGATGGGTAAGTTATATTCCAAAGTTTCATTTTGAGTAGAAATTAAAGTATTTTTCTACTATATTTTCAATATGATGAATTTATTAATTAATGGATCATTCATGTATATTAAATATTAGTTTCCTTAAACATAGGGATAAAAATATTTCGGGTATATCATGCAGTCAAAATACAATATTAGTATGATTTTTTAAGTTAAAAAAGAGAGCAATTGCTTATAATACAATCGCGGAAAAAAAATTAAAGGGACAACTATAAAAAGGTGATGTGTTGTAACTGATAAATAGTAATAAATACTACGAATACGAAAGATCTGACAGGCAATCGAATAACTCATATTTAATTTTAAAGTTTATAGTATTTTGCTAATTTGCTGCTTTTTTTTTCTTTTTATATCTTTTTATTGTCATCCAGTTTGCTTGATCTGACAGCATTCCGTGGCAGTTTGTCAACAAAAATTTATTTGCATATTTTTCAACTTTTGTAGAATATATTTATGTTAATTAACCCATTCGCTTATGATTTGAAACTATACTATCAATTCTTCTTAAGTTTGCAATCGGTAGGATGAGTTAAAAGTATTTAAAGCCAAGTTCTTGAAAGTTTTAGAGGTAAAGATTTTGCCAACTATGCTCACAGTTGAATTTTTCATTCACCTACCTCTGCTACGTTAGTTTTCCGGCATTAGCCATTTTGCTATTCGAAGTTAAATCATGTACACAGAATTTGAGACAACGCTTTGTTAGATACTTTGAATTGTAGTCTGTTGCAACGATGTATTTAAATTGTAAACCCAACTTTCTGTTAACTAATATTGCCGCCCTGATCCGTCTACTGGTTTGTATTTCTAGTCGCTGTATCATTCAACTCAGGATCGAATTCCGGAGAAGGCATAGATATTTGTAAGTGTATAGTGTTTGGCGTCAAAACAGCAGTCAAAACACACAGCGAGCCAAACGTTCTCTCGAGTGGGTGGTGGGACACTCTCGGCCCGCCTCTCTCAGGGTGTCAAAATTTAATAATTAATGAGGCGAACCTACACCTGAACTACCAATATTGCATAACTGGTATCTCGCCCCATTTATACCTAAACCTATTAACTGACGTCTCGCAAGAGGCGGAGAGTTAAATTGTAAGCACAAGGTCATACATTTTGTTTCATTTAAAGCTTTTGCTAAAAAGGATGTTTAACCTTTCTTAAGACTCTGATTTAATTTCACAAGCTGAGTGATAACTCTCTTGTCGGTCTAATTAGGATCTGAGGACTATGGTGTCTTTACAAGTTTGCATTCTCATGTATGAATAAGTGAATGTACAACTGAGCAAGAATTTAAGAAAATAAATAAAATGCGAACTGGGATTCTTGCTAACATTCCACAAATCCTTCAAAACTTACAAAATATAGCTTGGATAAAGGAAGATACGTAATACTTCTGAGGGAAAGGGAAATGGGATATTCAAACTAGCAGCATGGTGAATTTTCTCATTATAAAATGCTTTAAAAAAACTTTATCGTAAAAACTATCGTATTCCCTCGCGCGTGTTGTCGAGGTACAAGTGGTAGCACGCTTAACTAGTACTCGAGAAATCCGTGTTTCGATTCATGGCGAGTTCGGTGACGTGTTTTGACATTTTTATATCTTGAATCCTCCACTGCAGTCGTTTATTATACTGTTTCGAATATGTACCTTGGTGGTCTCGCTACCAGGGGATAAGAACTCGAGCCTAGAGGTTCCAGGGGCGCCCTGGGTGGAAGATCATGTGCCTGAAAACGTTTATAATGAGTGACTCACGGTAGACACTCAGCGTAAATCCTCAGTGCGGGGTAGCCCGCGTAGTACTGGTTGGAGTATTTAGACTGGTGGAAGCTTATAACAGCCGCGCCCCCATGGTGATCTCTGGTCGTCGGGAGCATGGAGGTGGTCGGGAGCGGTGGCCAAGTCGAATGGCTCAGCCATGGGGGTTGTTGAGATAAAAACAAAGTCTATTGCCTGTAACTGTGGGATCAGCAGCAGCGAAGTGAATGCGATTAGACTCTCCATGGTAGCAAATTTCCTGACGGACCTATGTCCTGCCTAATAAGGAGGTCCGAAGTTGGGGGTTAGGCCTGGTTGTGCGTCTACCTGAGTTCGCTGTACCAGCAAAAACCAAAAACATCTCTTGAATGAATGAATATTTCTGGATTATCCTAATTCGTTGCACAAAAAACAAGCATCATTAACTATAATTTTTTTTAAAATATGTATTTATGAATGCATAGCTAGTCTGTTATGCTGTTTGCCATGTAATTTTGGTGAACACTTTCCCTTTTCCGTACTTTTCAAGGTTTAAATTAGATAAAATGCTTTAATTTAGTTAAAGGCTTACCTTTCGATTCAAGTAATAAGTAGTACAGTAAAAGCTTTAAAAGAATTATGCTTATACAAGGTATTCATGAAATGGTTTCCAGTATGTCGCAAATATGCCTTTTAAACGCGAAATAACAACAATAAAAGGTATATTTAAAACATTCTTAAGCATTTTATTATAAATTTTGCGATTTGTGGTAAATTACGTTTACCTAATTATTCTGTTTTGGGCTCTTTTCCAGGGTGCTTAAAGTTCCAGTTTATCTGTCTGACAAAGGCTTGCACTTATTTTTACAAAGTTCCTATTCTATGTCGGAAATTGATGAACAGTGTCTTGGTGACATACCCGTTCCTCAACTAGTAGACACTGATTTTTTTACCTCATCACATCAGTCAGATTCAAGGTAAGTGTCCTTTTCCTTCCCAATATTATGAATACCTTACTATGCTCTGTAAATCTAATGTATTTTAAAATGAGCTTTCATTTGTAAGAACTTTGTATGTCGCTATTCTAAAACTATGACTTCTTTACTTTTAGCTCAACTAAGTCTTCGGAGAATACAGAGGTACAAAACACTCTTAGAGTTCTTGAAAATTTTAAAATTGGTAGTACGGAATCCACAAAGGAAATTCAAGATATTGATGCTAATATTCTAAAACATGGCAGTATTTCATCAAAAAGTGAACCACAGCTGATTTCTACTTTGTCTAGCAGTATGCCATGTCCTGTTCCGAAGTGGAGAGGAAGCCTGGACTCAAGTTCTCCATCGATATCACCATCCAGCTTTGATACCAGTTACAATTCATCTTTGGAATCAAGTTCTCCCCGCCGAGTATCTTTTAATGAGAATGTGACTGTAGCTGTTGTTTGCAACCAGTTCTGGAATATCGGTGTTAAACCAATAAGAACAGATGCCTGAATGGCCTTTGCTGGTCATATCATATAAACCATATATTGGTTCTTATCATTGAAAATAGAGTGAGCTTCCATCGATCATGTTAATGTATCATACAGAGATTGTAAAGCATATCTAAATCATGCAACGTAATGCTTATAGCATAGTTTTATAATGATGAAGCAAATATCAGTTTATCTCAAAAATTGCAACCTTTATCAAAAATACTTATTTCTGAGAGATACTGATTTGTGTTAAAACTACCCTAAGCATTGTAAAAATGATTTTGTGCCCAGAAAAAAGTTTTCAAACATAAATCATGTACGTTTATTTAAATTTAAAATCAAAATAACGATGCTACAGTCTTTGAAACTGAAGATATTGTAGGATAATTTACAGTTTTTGTCTTTTACATTAATATTATATACATAATATATATATGTAACATATTATGTGCACCGAAAAAGGGCATTTGCTTCAAACATTGTCTAATATTTAAATTTTAGATTGTCCTCCATCCAACATTTTGTTTTACAATTTTTGCCAGTCTCAAACTGTATATTCTGTTCATCATGCAACGTCTTGCAGCATGTAACTTGAACCCAGTTCTTATTCATGCTTATAATTTATTTAAAATCATATTCATTAAATTTTCTAAAGTTATCATTTGATGGGAACTGCCAGCTTGAAAATGGTTTACATTTACCCATTACATTTTAGATTATATTTAAAATAATATATAAGTTTATAGCAATTAGGCAATGTATTAGTATTCCATTTAAAGCTTTGTGTGTGCGTGTGTATTACTACTGTGAGCATTCACGTACTTAGCAGAGCACCTTTATATCTGAAGAAGTGATAGTCGTTTAGTGTTAACATTTGAGCAAATTATCTTCTCTTGCTGCAGTTCTTAATTATTTTAACAAAGTGTGTGAAATGTCCTTTTGTATTTATATTTATTTCTTTTTTCAAAAAAGGAACTGAACATCATTTTCGCAAACCTAAACGTATCTATAAATCTCAAGAGTATCTTTTAAAATGCATTTTTGTAACTGTTTACATGTTTTCTCTGCTTCTATTATTTTTCCCAATAAAAGCAATTTGAAATGTTTTATAGTTTTACTCAGTCTCATTAAAATATTAACTAATTTAGGGTACAAAAAATATCTGCTCCTTTCTCTATAAACATTTATTATTAAACTCATATCTGACCTTACGATTACCTTACAAGTATAGTTAGTTTTTCAAACCAACATGTACTTACTATCGGTATTTACCTACACTGGATAATTTTTATTTTTATTTTACTTTCATTTATTTATTTATTGGCAATATAAATATTGATGAAAATCAGTGGTTTTCCAATTTTATTATCATTTATCTTAGAATAAGTATATCTTAAGATACTTTAGTCTCAAGTCTTCCACAGCAAAACTCCAAATTTCGAATCTTATTTTTTACTTCTTTGACGCTAAGCAATTCAAGAATAACAACTCAAAAAAAAAAAAAAAAAAAAAAAAAAAAGAATAAAAATATTTTACCTTCTCAGTTTACATTCCATCGCTTAATCATCTTCTCCAACTACTAATTGCAGCTATTCCGTGCATTACTGTCAATGAAACCAATTCTACACTTCTGAGGTAACCTCTTCACAGGCGCGCCTTCCACGTCTGATTCGTGGACTTTTGAAAGCCTGTCATTGCGAAAGTGAACCATTCTGTCTTTTAACGGGATTTCATACAACGTAATCTGTAGTAAACGCCACAGTTTACATTAATGGAAGATAGTAAAAATCACTGATGCCAGCGGCATAACATTTCTGAGTTAGTATAAATTTTGCAGTTCTTTACTATATATAAAAATCAGCCTCAGTACCTTAGCTTCAACAAGTTTAATGCTACACAACAGTATGTATAACACTGTGAAACTAAAGCACTTTTGGGGATGAATTAGTTCTTCTCATAATTCAGCTGACGAATTCAGCTGATTTATGATACGAAATCTTCCTTAACCCCTTCTTTGGATTTAACAGAAACCGTGCAATAAAAATGTACATTAACTCATATACTACCGTGTAGGCACATATGACCACACAGTGAACCTTTAGGGTCCTGCCAGCCACATGCGGATGGAACACAATTGGATTTTAATCTCAAATACCTTCATGGCCATTGCTTTTCTCATGCACTTTTGCAGCGTTTCCTTAACTTATTTCGTGATTATAAATGTGGTCGCAAAGCGGAATATTGGGGTCGCGAAAAAAAATTAAGGTACATGAATTTAAAGAAACATTGGTCATAATTCCTTCACTATCTTTATGTTACATTCTCCTCCAAGCGCAATTATGAAATCGTAATACACGTAAGTAGGACTGTAAATTATATTTATGTATTGAAAAATACCACTAAGGGCATCATAATAGTGGCATTGCATTGCTATTTCTGCATAAGTTATCTCAGAATCACATAGGCCTCAAACGCACTGTATGTAACATACTGCGCCATTCAAACGTGCCAAGAAAATTCTTTCTAGTACAATTAGTCGTTTCTGTTTCATCTTAACAAATAGGCATATTGTAAGAACACTACAAAAATACAATATTGTATTTTACTGTCTTACTCGAGTAAGGCTGGTATTTATTTGAGTAATTATTTATTTGAGTAGAGATATTATTTTATTTAAAGATAAAATATTTTTACCTATCTTGAGTAACAAAAGCAATGAGGCAGATGGCAGTGCTACAGAGTCTTTCAAACAACATCCCGTAATCAGAAGCACATATAAAACATACGAGAAAATATGATGAGACATTTCTCTTATTTGATTTTACTTTCATCAACTGTGATGTCAATGAACAATCTGTTTTATTAATTTGCAGTTATGTTTGGCTATGGAGACTATGAAACCATCAAAATTAAAAAGCCATCCTGAATCCAATCATACTTCGTACGTCAGTAGACCAGAAGAATATATATATATATATATATATATATATGTAAAATAAAATTTGAGAAATTTATGACTATTAGCAAAAAATATTTACTTGTATCATGTGAAGTTTCATATCCGATTAGTAAAAATGAAAACCATATGCCATTGGATAAGATTTTGATTATCTTCTGCTTTTTAAATAGTAGAAATACTTCATGGTAGCAAATATGGAGATGAAATCTGTAAAATTCCTTTGTCAAACAACACTGTCGAACTGAATATTTACAATTAACAACCACCATTTCGAGCAACTTATTACTAGACTTAAAATTCACAGTTAAAAGACCAAAATTTATAGTTAATGAGGGACGAAACAACTGATATTTCAAAAATAGCTCATTTTTTAGTATATGTCAGACACGTTTATAAAGGAAACATTTCTGAAGAAATATTGTTTTGGCATACCTTTTAGAAGAACGCACAAGAGGAGAAGACATATACAATAAGGTTGATTGATTTTTTAAAACAAATTCTGGAATGGAGAAATTGCATTGGAGAGTGCAAAAGCTATAACGGACCAAAATATTGGTTTTAGATTATATTGTTACGTTATTTTCTTCTTTAACGTTAGTACGGGGTTCGTGGATTTGGAGTGAATAACGACGACACTTGATGAATTATCGAAACACACTTTATTAGCCAGTATTGTCAGGACAGCTCCAAAACACGTTTTACAGTCGTCGATGAACTATTACAAACACGCTGACACGATCAGCGACACAGCCTTCAGGCTATCAGGCTATCACGGGAGAAAGCTTCCCTGCAAAGCACCAGAGTACAGCTTTCGACTCTGCTCGGTCGTTCTCGGAACTCCACGTACTCTCGAGACTCTCCACGCTACAACTCGCGATGCACTCGACGACACACAGAGCACGGCTCCCGACTCTTCAGTTCAGTCGTTCCCGGAGCTCAACACGCTCTCTCGACGATGCAGTAAGAGACTCCTTCGGTGCACTCGACGACCCACTCGGCACTCGCTGGCCGGCTTTCAACTGGATCCACTCCGCAGGGACTGACTCGCTAGACGAGACACACACTCGATGAGAGACACACACTCTCGATACTACTGACTGACTGCGGACCAGCAGGGTTTATATAGCTTTCCGCGTGTGTTCGAGAACATTCTGGGCTAAACCGGTAAGAATTCGTTCCAGAAGGTTCTCCATCCGTCCATGGTATATCGCCAATTTTGTCGCCAAATTGACGATTTCTCGCCAAATGGGGCAACCCTGCCTTTCCTTTGCCATTTTATGGCAACCCTAAAACTGCTTTGCGGGGAAGCCATCTTACCGTGCCTTGACATTTCGTAACAATAATATGTTGAAGCTTCTGGTAATGATCAAATATCTTCGACACTGTGTTTGCTCAATGAGAGTCCATTGCAACAATAAAAAAATTAACAATGAAATTTAACGATGAGCTTCAGGATGCTCTAAAAATTATACACTTTATTAAGATCCATACCCTTAATAGCCGTTTATTTTAAAATCTATGTAAAGATATCGATTCCACATACAAAAATTTATTGTTATACTCAGAGGTAAGATGGAGGACAAGAGATGTAATTTTAAGAAGATTATTGTTATTAAAAGACGAAATAATTATACTTTTAACTGAACACAAATCAGTTCTTACTGCGCTTTTTAAAAAATCAATTACAGCTATCACAGCTGTTCAGTTTGTGAGATATTTTTGAGAAACTAAGTGATCTAATCTATTCTCTTGAAAGAAAAAATAATATATTTACTTCAACTGATAAAATTGAAGGTTTTTGTTAAAAAGAGTAGCATAGGGAAGAAATGGACGGAAAATGATTGATCTGAAATGTTTTCTACCATCGATAATTTTTATAACTGAAAAAAAAAATTGTAAAACTTAAATTCCAAAATTTTTACACATCACTTAAGAAACCCAGAAACACAGTTTTCAAATACTTTCTATGGAATTTCAAAACTTTATCTTGGATTCAGATAACATTCTTGATCGACATTAATGAAAATGATCACCAGCCATAGAAATGCAAGATGGTTTCATTTATTAGATTACGGCAAAGCACTCGAGGGCTATCTGCCTTCAGAGAGGGATGCCTTCGTGAAGGACTTTCTAAGGGAAACTGGCTCGTATACACGTTACACATGGGGAAAACCACGAAAACACCCATGCAGCCATTGCCCGTTCGCGGGATTCAACCTCGGACCGAACTACCAGTGTTCAGCGACGTTACCGCTCGGCCGCTGGTGGGCAGAAATGCAAGATGAATTTGTTGAGCTGTCGAATGACTTAAATCTTACGTTCCCACAACAATTCTACTCTGAATTCAGGATCGGTGCTCAAATAGTATTTCTCACAAATTCTTAAATGCCATTAACTGTTCTTCTGCAATTCAGCACCACATACCGCTTCGACTTTCAAATCAAGTTCTATTTGAGTGTCTAAATCCCTCAGAGTTCTTGCCTTTTTGTTTAGTTGGTCTAAAATTTCTTCCATTGCATTTATACTAAAATGTCATCTTGACGTAATTGTGTCTCAATTTTCTTTAGTATCTTGGACACTGCGGTCCTTAATACTTTCCGTTTCGATTTCAACTTCCGATAGGATCTTCCATGATTATCTTACTTTAAAAATAGAAAACTTAATCCTACCTTGGCAGCAGGGCTTGACTTAGCCTAATTGGGACCCGTTGGCATGGACTTCTTTGGGGTTCTTTTTTCCTCTACTTCACTACTGCTTCATTCAGTAATGAAGCACCGAATTTCATGGAGGCATTTAAATTTTTATAATAATAAACTATGTATTCAATTTGTGTTCCCCTCTGATATAGGGGCCCGGGGCAACTGCCCGTTATGCCCTTGCCTTAGTCAGGCTCTGCTTGGCAACCTTCGCACACTTGCTACGTGCTAATCCAAAATTACAAATATTAGCCGGATTTCTGGCCCGACACACCAAAATGTGCAGGATAATGTACGCTAATCTAACAGACGAATGGCGCTGCGCATCTAACTAAGTTCTACAACAATTCTGCTTGAGATAAGCAGCATCTAAAATTCTACAAATAATGGTCCGGTGATAATTCTATATTCCAAATGCCAATCTAGTTTAAAAAACAAATTTAATTGAATATCA